GAAAAACAGACAAAATTGTCGAGACTCGATTTCCGGGATGGATGGGGGATGGTGTAGCGTGTCGGAACGAAAATGTTTTTAATCAAAATTGACGTTTACATAGCACTTTTTGGAAATCAAAAAGGCTACACCATCGTTTCAACAAGTCGCTAACATAAATTATAAATAATTACAAGACGTATTCATTATCGGCATCACCATGCTTATCATTACATCCTATCAGCGCTAATTGCATACATTGATTTGCATCAAGTCGAAAAATTGTGACCAAAATTCGTAGATTTTCAACATGATATTTTAAAGGGTTTTTCATATAATTAACTAATACTACTAAACTGATTTATGCTTTTACTCATGAACTCAACTTTGTGTTATTTTATAGCGCAAAGTAGTTACTAACAAATCAGAGCATCTGTGTTTCGAAATTCAAAACATTTCTACGAAGTATAAATAGTTTTTATACTCGAAATAATGAAATTAATAGTTACAGCAGAGGTTAAAGCGTGTTTTGTTTATAAAAAAGTGAGCGCACGACTCGTGCCCAGCGGATTCCGCATTACGTCCAGTAGACAGTTCACATCCCGGAAATTGAGTCTCGATGAAATCTTTCTGTTTTCAATACTTCATATTTTAAGTTTTTTTTTTCTATAATTTCACATTTGTTCCTATGATTTCGCAATAATGCGCAGTGAGTTATCATTCAATCTTGACATTCGGACGGAGAGACGAATGCTCCTTCTCAGGTACGAAACCCTAAAAATGAAGTTAATCATGTTGGATGCCAGCAACAAAAGGCGGTAAAAAGTTGTTAAGCAATAAATTTCAATAAATGGTGGTTGGCAGTAGTTTTACCCGTGCAACAGTATCGGTACCGTACCCACACATTTCCTAGTGTAGCGCGGCAACTATATGTAAATATTTCATGAAATACACGTCATATAACGAAGAGTACTTAATAAATCACTATCTCAAACATTTATCGGACACTCAGACCATCTGTCACTAAATATATGAGATAAACGACGGCTATCGATAGCATTACAAACTAATCAGTTTTATTGTTAAGTAGACGAAGAACCAATCAATAACGAGAATTATTTAGCAAGGCAATGCATTCGATTGCAGTTAATATTAAACCACTATGAAGAAAAACCTCGCAATCCATTAAAGAAAATCTATTTACGATAATTTCGACCATGATTATCGACAGAGATGTGCAAAATAGTTTAATAAATGTATTTAAATTGTAATGTAATTCCTTGTTTTTTTTTTCAATTTCAAATAAAAAAACAAAGTAGTTTTCATTGAAAGTATTTAAATACAAAATGCAAAATACATATTTTCAAATAAAATACCATATTCACTGATTTTATCACCAGAATTTGTTCAAAGAGATCATCTTTCATGTTCTGTCTATGTGGTCTTCATAAGCAAGTATTAAATTATATTATATTATATTTAGGGAAGAGTTTTTTTTTTACACTTGGATCTGTTCAAGGATTTTAAAGTATTGTTTGTATTCATCTTTTAAACATTGTATTGTTTTCAGGTCCTTTGTAGTATTGAAATTAATACTGACTGCTGAAGAATCAAAGTTCTCAAAAAACGTAATATACACAGTGTGTTGGGAGATGGATATGAAATATGAATAAAAAAAAAATTAAGTAAAACCGTTTTGCATTTAAAAATACTAAGTATTTATATATAGTATTTAAAATAAAATGGAAAATAGATTTAAAAAGAAAAAGAATGTCAAATGCAAAATAAAAATAGGTATTTTGCATTTTGTATTTTTATTTTAAATATGTGTATTTTAAATAATTTACATCTGTGATTATTATCGACCGACAGACAAACAGACAAATATTTAAAACAAAGTTCCTCATGGATAATCCCTTTAGCTCAACCAAAGGCAATTATTTCGATTTAATAGACTTCAGAAATACTTTTATTTTATTTATAAGTATAGATAGTACAGTACCTGGGTGACCGAGCTTTGTTCGGCGTTAGAAATACAATTTTATCGAAATGAAACATACCTAGATAAACTTGGAAAGTAAAATGTTATCTAAATACAAAATTTCCATTAAAATCGTTAGAGCCGTTTCCAATAAACCATTTATTTAAATATATTTATATTCTCTTTTTTCTTTATTTTAATTATTCAAAAGATTAATTAATGCCATTCTGTAAAGATACTGTAATCAAACGGTTTTCGACTAAAGCTTTGATCTCACGGTTAATAACTTAAATAAACAAATTTAAGAAACCCCCGAAATAAAAAGAGCTGATGACCTTCAAACGGCAGTTTTATGAGACATAGCTAAGTACACTCCCGATTAAGAAGACACCTTTCAAACGAAAAAACTTAATTCAAATCCGTTCATCCGTTCAAGAGCTATGATGGTACAGGCACGCACACAGATACACAAATACACAGATAAACTGACATACAGATGTACACAGATACACACTACAAACCAAACCAAAGGATTGTAGTGTGTATGTGTACATCACACTACAAACCTATAGGTTATACAGTACAACAGTGTTATAACACTCCTCTGTTTTCGTCGGGGGTAAAACGTACGCATAGCGATCACGCAATAACTCCGCAAACAAAACATTTTATTATTTTGTGTACGTTTTAATGGGTCCCTAGATGGTTTAGATTCACATTTAGACCCGGTAGGTGGCGCTGTTGTCGAGGTCCAGAAATCACTCGTACGAAACCGGGGCGAATCGCTAGTCATTTTGTAAAAATTTAACAATGACAAGAGTTGTGTGAAGACAAAACGCGAACGATAATGATGGAATCGAAAAAAAAAACATACAGATGACACAATTTTTTTTAATAAATCTGAAGTGATAAACGAACTTACATTCCACCTGATGGTAAGTGCCTACTGCAGTCCATGGACATCTGCAACCAACTTCAAAAAATGAATGATTACAAATACGTTGTCACCTCTGAGGACTAAGATGGAATGCCTCACAGCCTGTTTGGTTATACGGTTGCTATTGAGTACCTTCGAGATATTCCACAATGAAACTGTGTAAAAGTAATATCAAATGATATTACGTCCCTATTCCTCAATTCGTTGTAAACAACAGTTCTTTACGCAAAAAAGTTGTCTGGAAGCTTCTAGAGCGATAAGACCGTCTATTGTACCTTCTATATATATTTCATTTTGCTTCGTTTTAATGTGTATTGGTGCACAAGAAAGAATATATTTATTGATCAAATGAAAAGGCTTATGTTTCTAAGTCATATGAACACATTTAAAAGAAATTTTACTTAATAGTCAATCGGCAGCTCTTTGTTTGCGGTACGAAAGGGCCGCACCGGCCACGGTAGGACTACGTTCTCCAAAATACCAGCATAAAATAGCGACGTAACGCTGCTGTGTTTCGTATGCTAAGTGTAGAGTACCAGAGACCCTATTTACTGGTAACTAATAGAGAATACATCTCTTTTTCATGAGGAGTGACAACGCATCTGCATTTTGATTCTTAAATCGAGGATAGATGAACAATTTTCAAAATAGGATACAATTTTGAGGTATGTCACTTATGTCTAAGAACCACAATAGCCCCTTACCATCAGATAGACAGTGTGCTTGCTTGTCACCCTTATATCTATTAATTAGGAGAGAGTAATCACTGTGTACCCTAGTTGTACTAATGAACTGTATACATTTCAAAGTTGGGGATATAAATTTGCGTTTACGCCCAAAATAGTTTGAAATACCGGATTTATTTAAAGCTAGCTGGGCGAACAGATGATTATACCAGACTGGCCACTAACAATTTGTTATCTGGCCTTGCAATTTTTAAAATAAATACTCTTAACAATCGACGATCGGTCATAGTGCCAACACCAGCTAAGAAAACAATAGGATTACAAATGGAAATTACTTAAAAAACAGCCCGACAGACGCCAATGAGTTCCTGTCTTCTTCATTTTTTATAGGATAAGGGTGACAAAAGAGCACAAAGTCCATGTGGTAAGTGGATGATTTTGTGTGTGCCCAATGGATACCTATATTATTTAGCCCCGGTAAATAATAAAAATGTAGATGCATTGTCACCTCTGAGGACTAAGATAGAAGGCCCCGTTACCAGAAAAAAGGGTATCCGGTTTTCTACACCAGATATTCTACGAAACATAGCAGAATTAAGCTGCTACGTTACGCTGTTATTTTGTAACAACCTTCCCTGGTTGAGTCGACCCATTCACGCTGCAATGATATATAGCTGCAGGGTTGCTTTACCACATCAAAGTCTTCTATTTATACTTTAATAAAAAAAAATCATAAAAAACAATAAACTTCATTACACTATTATCAGTTATGTCCAATCGTTTGGTCAGCCCACGAGGAATCAAGCAGACGAGTAGTGCTTTTTCTTCCGACTCGTTCAAAGGTCACGTCCAACGTGCTAATCACTTTGAAATTAACATATTATCTTTTTATTTGTTAACCAATTTATAAGAAATAAACACCAAATATTAGCCTAAGCTTATATCTCAATACATCACTAAACCACATTTAAATTGGCTGTAGAGATTAGCCTGCTCAAACACTCAGATAAACAGACGAAAAAATTGTATAAGTAGTAAAGGTAAAATTAACTTCAAAATCGTCAATCAGACCATAATTCATGTAGTTTTGAAAGTTGGTACAGTTATTCCTTAAGTAGTCCAGATGAATATACTAAAAGCCCCCGAGGGAGGGACACAAGCCGGCGGTGGGGGAGGGGAGAAAGGGTCTCTTTTTCAAGTTTTTTTTGCTTGTGACTCGAAAACTATTTATAATATTTCTTTAGTGAACTACATGAATTATTTGGCGTGATTTTCTTAATTTTCCCAGGCTAAAGATTTTATTATATTTATAGTACAAAATAAGTAAAATGTTTTAATAATAAACAATTTTTATTGCAGGTGATGGAAGGCGAGGATGTAATGTGTCAATTTAACTGGTAACGAATCGTATTTCATTATGAATGGCCTAAACCATATCATAGCATTAAATATTGTGAAGAATGATTGGGAAAATGAAAACTCAACGAGGAACTACGATATTGCAGACGATCTGTTAAACTCGACGCTAAATGAAGACGAAAATCTTTTGAACAATGACGAGTACATTTTTGATAGAACTGATGTTAGAGCTATATTCATCACATTGTACACCATTGTTTTTTGCTGCTGTTTTTTCGGTAAGTACGTAATTGAGTTTAATATTCGTCGTCCACTTCCTTTAGACGAGGAGGGCGATGGCTGCCACTAGTCTCATACTTGTGAACAGGGGCTACTTGTGAGTTGTGGGGACTGGCTGGCTCAGGTTTATAATAGCTTTATTAGCTTTAATTATTCATATTTTTTGTTTTGCTGTATAATTTTATTATCGACTATCTTTGGATTACGTATGGGTCTGTTCCTTTCATTTTTTTAGGGATTCGTAGTTAAACAACAAGGGACCCTTATAGTTTCGCCATGTGCGTCCGTCCTTCCGTCCGCGGTTTTACCCAGAGACCCTAGGTGCTACCAAGTTATAATTTGGCATAGTTATAGATATTAATAACACATACAAAGTTGTGAAATAAAATCTTGAAAAATATTTTTTATTTTGGGTACCTCCCATACAGTTGATTTTTTTGCACGTAATTCCCTCATGTATCCCACACATTCCATCAAAATTATTTAGCTTTAAAGTGGTATTTTTATTAGCCGTGTGCCGCCCCCCCCCCGCACCTACAAACTAAATCGCTGTTAAAAATTTCTTTACAATTTCATAGAAAATGACCTAAAACTAGCTGCTTTATAGCTTTGTAATGTTAATGTACCTAATGGTAAAAATAAACATTTATTAAAATAATTTAAAATTTAAAATTTTTTACAACCGATTTCAATATAAATTATTAAGAATAACTCAAAAACTACTGGTCAGGTCTTGATCAAATTTATATGGGACCACATAAAAACACCAGCTTTCAAATAAAAAAAGAATCAGCGAAATCGGTTCACGCAGAAAAAAGTTATGAGGTAACACAAAAAAGAACATACAGTCGAATTGAGTACCGTTTACGTTTTGAAGTCGGTAGAAAAAAGCGACTTATATATTAACTAATTTAGCCTTTTTACTTTGGGGAGTAGGGAGAGAGGATCGATGGCCAATAGACCGATCATAACATACCACTTTCGCTTATCTTTAGTTTAGTAGTTATTGTAGGCCCTTGGCGAAGTCAGGGTCATGTATATCTTACAGTTGCACTGCCGGGAACTAAAAGAAGGATAGGGAACTATGAAAATTTTTGTACGCACTTGGCATATGAACGATTTGATGTAGATTGTGTTATTTTTAAAATTGATTTTTTTTTAATCTTTAGATTACCGCTATTTTATATATTACCACTATAAATTATTGAAAAAATTATTGTAGATCAAATATTACGTTTTTTTACTGTAAATAAATTACTCCATAAAAATCAATTTAGTTTTACAAAGGGTCGCTTGATAACTGGCACCGGTGTTGAGCTGATTAAACATATTTGCTGTGCATGGGAGAATTCAGTGGATGCTTTAGGTATATTTTGTGATCTTTCCAAGGCTTCCGACTGTTTCGAAAGTTACATCATTGTGGCGTGGGGGGAATAATCATGATATATAAGGCCGAGAAAAAATTTCTTCGTATTTTATATACAAATTCAAAACATTTTTTTTTCAAAGTTTATTTATATATGCCATTTTGTTCGATAACTTTTTGTCATCTTGTAAGTAGCGACATAATCCCGTTGCTGTAGAAATCTTGGGATTTTTTATCAAAAAAATTGGACAAGTATTTGACAGTCCCTCTTGATGTTAACCTAACACTACCCAAAGAATTCTGAAGAGACCGAAACAGGTAAAAATCTGAGGGTGCAAGGTCAGGAAAATATGGTGGATGCATCATCATTTCCCAACCAAGCTCTCTCAATTTTTACTGAGTAGCCAAAGATGTGTGTGGTCTGGCGTTATCGTGATGAAAGACCACTCCTTTTCTGTTGATCGATTCCGGCCGTTTTTTTTTCAATTTCTTGCTTGAGTCACATTAATTGTTGTGGAGAGAGTAAAAGTGGAGATCCGAATCGATGGTTTTACCCGGCGGTAAAAGCTCATAATAAACGATGCCCTTCCAATCCGGCCATACACACTGCATCACCTTATGGCGTGTTTATTTATTTATTTATTTATTTATTTATTTAGAAAACCAACAGCGTATATAGAAAATATTAACATTAATGTAACAAACTTAAAGTATGGCCAATAACAGGTTTCCCTTATATTGTTTGATGGTAGGTGTATTGTTGTTAGAAGAAAAGAAAAAAGAACAATCTAATAGATAAATTATAAGCAAAATTATAAGCAATTCAATGTAATGAAGGTGGTCATAAGTTTACAGATCAGGAGAGATAGTCAGGTAGAATGATATATTACGTTACCTTTATATATATATATATATATATATATATATATATATATATATATATATATATATATATATAAACATATAAGATATATATATACATACATATATATTATTTACTTATGTATATATACATATTAAATGTTTAAATATATAAACATAATACAAATAATTAATTATAATATATATTTTAAATAAAATAACTTAAGTACTTATATTTATATTAGTAGCCTCAAAAATACATATAGAAGAAATAGATGAGAGAATATATGATTGTATGTGATTTTAACTTCAACTGCTCTATTTCGTAATAGTTTTCTTGATGTAATCTTTAAACGTAAGTTTAGATTTCGCAAAGAGGTCAATGTGTCCAAATTGTTGTGTGTGTGTGTCCAATGTGTTAATCTGGGTTTTGCTACAGTTTATGGAGCTTGACTACCCTTTATTTCAGTATAGTCAGTAAGACTAACACTGCATTAGGTCCATAAACGTCACCAATTTTTTTGCGGCTTTAGTCGCATTTTTCCCTTTTTTGTAATAAAACTTCAGAATGTATAGAATTTCTTCGCTAGATTCACTCATTTTGGCGGACAGAAAAACGCTTGAATACCATTTGGTGGGAAAGAGTTTTTATTTTTTATTTTTCTTTTGCTTAACCTCATATATGTATTGATAGTACAACCAACCAGATACAAACAGTACAACCAAGGAGATTTTTCTTCAATTTTATACAAACAAAATACGACGAAAATTTTTCCTCGACCTATTATTTTTGTTTGCTGATGATACTTCGTCGATCTTCCGACTTAAAAAGCAATTATTAAAATATGACGACGACGTGAATAATGCTATATTAAATTTAATATACTGGTTTAACGTCAATAATTTGCTTTTTAACGATAATAAACGAAATATATTAAATTCACCATACCTAACGTTAAGCAGGTGAATAGCAGTGTGCTTTTACATGGGGAGGTGAAAGCTTTGTTGAATTACAGTTAACGCGAAGCTTCAATGGGGTCTCATATATCTAAACTAGCTTGCAAACTTAGTTCTACAGCATATGCTGTAAAAAATATTGAAGGCCTTACATGTGTTGAAACAGCTAGATTAGTTTATTTTAGTTATTTCCGTAGCATAATGTCATATGGAATCTTGCTATGGGGTAATGCGACTGTCATTGAAACTATCTTTGTTTTGCAAAAGAGAGCCATAAGAGCTATTTATAACCTAGGTCCGAAATAATCCCTTAGAGAAAAATTTCAAAGAATTAATATATTAACTTTCGCCTCTCAATATATTTACGAAAATTTAATGTATGTACACTGTTACGGCCTACGGCTGCCCTGCAAAGTAGGCTATCCCGGGGCCCAAGCAGGAATTCTACGGGCAGACGCAGGTCGGGCCTCCAAAGTGGCCACGTGGAAATATCCTATCACAATAAAGGGGAAGGCTAGTTAACGGGAAGGTACTTACCTGCTTCGGGAGCGGAGGCTGTTCACAAGGATCTGCCCGGCTGATGAAAGTGTAGTGAGTGTAGGTGGTATTTGTGTGTGACTGTGTGTAGGCGGCCTGGGCTAGATGACACGATGCTGTCCTGGAGGAGGTATTCTCCTGTGGAGCCCTCGGAACAATTCCCTTCTTGAAAGCACTAGTTCAGTCTATTCACAAACAAAAAAATAATTTCAAACGAAATCACTATATAATTTGCACAATTACTTTAAACGAAGTTAATAAATCCGTAAAGAACAACACGTGGTTCCGCCGACGACAGAGGTACTAGCTCGACTCCGTTCGTGACGTGACAAAAATTAAGTAAGAAACAAAAAACGTCCGTTCCGATCGCAAAAATTTTACACTCCACGCCGAGACGTGTCCAGTCGACCGGCCCGAAAGGAATGTCGGCGCGGGGGGGATGTGACCTCGATACTGTGCGAAGCTATTAGCGAGTGATTATAACACAATTCTCAACATATTTAATATTGGCCTAAACAAACCCCTGCCCCGGACGTAAGGAATTATATCCGCGAGTAGATTGGCAAACGGGACAAAGTCGCGAGGGCACGTTGCAAGACTGAATCTCCGACCAAAACCTCGGCCACCCGAGGCACCCCATCCGATCATTACGACAACTTAACAATGCGCCCACGGCGCCAATACAAAGGCAGGGCGTTGGGTTCTTTAACCAACACGAGGTCTCCCACCCGAGGAGGATCCGTCTTGTCAGACCACTGAATGCGCTGCTGCAAAAGAAGTAGGTACTCCAAAGACCATTGGTGCCAAAAGCTCTGAGTCATCTGTTGCAGCAGGTCAAACCTGCTCAACCGCGAAGAGTTCGTTTCCCTGAAGGGGTACTCGGGCAGAGCGTTAAGCGGCTGGCCAATCAGGAAGTGTCCCGGGGTTAGAACCTCCAAATCATTCGGATCGGACGAGAGGGGACAGAGGGGCCGCGAGTTGAGTACCGCCTCAATTTTACAGAATACAGTGGCGAGCTCCTCAAATGTCAAAATAGTTTCACCAATAACGCGACGGAGATGCGTTTTTGCAACTTTAACCGCCGCCTCAAAAATACCGCCCCAGTGGGGACACGCCGGAGGGTCGAATTTGCCCCTTTTTGACATCGCATTGCCTAAATAAGTCCGGAGGCTGGACAGAAATTCGACGACCTCTTTCAGATACCTATCCGTGCCGCAATCAGACCGGATCAAGTCCGGCAAACCGCGCTGTGATACGAAATGGCCCAGCGTGGCCAAG